ATTAAGTTTATATATAATTTTAAAATAGTACAGCCTCACCGTTAATATTTTAAAAAAAAAAAAAAAAAAAATAGTACACTCTACTCTTAAATAAGTAAGATCTGTAATTAGTTTGTAGATATGATATCTAGTGTAAAACCTGTATAGTAAATAAACAGATTACTTACATGTGCCTAGTTGTAACCTCCTATATATGGATGCCCCTGAAGGCATCCGTGTTCAATAAGAACTTGAATAAAAACACGAATTGTACACAATTGTATACGTGTCTTTAATCACAAGACCTATCATGACGATCTGGGCTTAAAAAAAAAGCGAGAAATCCAAAAGTCGCTATACAGGTTCTCACTTGGAAGCATTCAAATATTCATCGATTTTTTAAAAAAAACATAAAGATAGATCCTATCAATACGTTATGTATCGTACTCCATTTTTTATAAAAGTCTAATTTAAAGTCTAAAAATATACATAACAACTAAAAATCGGAAATCAGAAATTACTACGTAATCATAATCGGTTTTGTTTTTTGATCAAAATGCTTTTCAGAGATGGTATTTAGCCAAAAATGGAATTCATAAAATAATATAAAATCTAAGAATTCAAAAGATATCAATTGATACGTATTATTAAAATTGCATCTCAGTAAGTTAGCTACATGGCGCAATACGTATAGATTTTTAATCAATCAGAGTACGTAGCACTACATATAAAGGGTATATATTATTCAACAAAGCAGATTTATGCTAGGGACGGTGAATACTTCCATTCCATTTTATTCCAATATCAATTGACCAATCAAAGCTTGTATCTAGCGATAGGTGCAAGTCCTGATTTGTCAATTTATATCAGAAAAAATGGAATGGAAGTATTCACCGTCCCTGATCTATGCGAATTAAAAGTCCTTATAAAGTGATAAAGTCAATTTAAGAGTGACGGTTAATCACTACCGTAATTATGATGTACGTATACAAAATATATATATCGAGATAATAAGGTCGTCTTTCCCTGATAAATATTGAATATGGGTGCAATGACAGTCAAAGTCTTATATTAGAAGAAAATCTTAACATGAGAAGGGCTATTTAAAGTAGAGTACTTCGTTAACTTAATACGTATTAGGTGTTCTGCAAGTGCCGGGCACGGACGGTGAATACTTATCAATTGACCAATCAAAACTTGTATTAGTGACTAGATTCAAGTTTTGATTGGTCAATTGATATATCAGAATGAAAATCCCTGCACTGGCACTATGTTTTAATAGTGCACCTGCAGAATCCTAGTTAGAACCAGTTAGAACCAGTATTTAAGAAATAAGATTAAATTGCTTTCATGTACGTAATTTGATGAAACTTGGCATCTCATCACATGAAGCACCATGCCTTAAACATCCTTTTGATCATCTTTTGAGATTTTCTCATCTTATCGATCTTATACGTAGAAGTTAGAAGTTTACCAGAAAATGTAATCACTAAATACATGCATCTCTTAGTGTAAATTTATATATATGATTTTTTGCTTTCTACGAGTGTATAACACTCTTTATGCTCGTACGTAATCCTAAGGAAGTTACACACAAGCAACTATACGTATACGGTATATATTACCAATTATTATTAGCTATTATATGTCCCTAAAAAGTCGTATTTTGAGATAGATCCACTTCTTAATACGTATAAATTATTTAAATCATTTTATTTCCAATTTTAATAATTTTATTTGCGTTTGTGTGAAACTAATTTTAAAACCAGTTAAATGGCAATTAGACCTTTCTTGTTTTTGTTCACAATTTATATGTAGTTCGCTCTGAAAAAAAGAAAGGAAAATCATAGTCCGTTACATAAATGACAAAATACTCTGCAATTAACACCGACGATGAGATCTCACCTCAAGCCTCAAACAGCAATGAAATCGCGTTAGAGTCAAATGACCAAACCCCCCTTCTCGCAAGTCATATTCCCATTGAAAATGACTCTCTAACTAGTGTTGGAAATGCTAGTTCCTTTTCTTGTGCGGTATGTTGGACTGTAGATTAATGACGTCAGATGTTTTATACCGCGCAATTATGGTATAGGTTGGTTTCACTTTGCAGACATGAAAGATATTAAGCAAACTAAAATTCTATCTATTATTTAGGTTAACCTTGCTAATACTATTCTAGGCACCGGCATGTTGGCAATGGTAATTTCTTAATTCATTCTGTTTTCTTGATTGTTTTTTTATAATTCGTTCTTACGAGTTTCTTACAGCCAGCTGCTATAGCTTCTGCTGGTCTTATAGCAGGCAGTATGATGATTCTCTATGCCGCTTTCACTTCCGCCCTTGGGTTGTTTTTCCTATCACGTTCTGCGGCTCGTACCAAAGGGCGTAATTCTTCATTTTTTGCCGTATCAAAATTAACCTATCCTAAGGCTGCTTTATTCTTCGACCTCGCAATTGCTATAAAATGCTTTGGTGTCTCTATTTCATATCTTATTATTATTGGCGATCTGATGCCTCAAGTAGTGATTGCAATTTGTGGAAGTGGTTATATCGATTCAAATTCTTTATTCTTGGATCGAAGATTTTGGATAACTGTGTCCATGATTGTAGTCGTACCTTTATCATTCCTGAAAAGATTGGACTCTTTAAGACATACGAGTTTTATTGCTTTAATAGCTGTGGTCTACTTGGTGTTTATTGTCATTTACCATTATTTCGGCCCTGATTTTGAAGCTCCTCCCAAGGACAAAATCCATTTGATCAATCTTTCGGGAAAATTTTTAACTAATCTACCAATTTTCGTATTCTCTTTTACTTGTCACCAAAATGTATGTTTCTTTGTTTTCATATTATATTTTCTTTCATTTATTTACCTGTTCCCTTTTATTAATCCTATAGACTTTTTCAATATATAATGAATTGAAAGACAACGCTCAAACTAATGTTAATTCGGTAATATTTACTTCCATCGGTGTTTCTGCTCTCATTTATCAAGTTATTGGAATATTAGGTTATTTGAGTTTTGGAGATGACGTTTGGCCTAATATCATCGCAATGTGTATGTATTAACTTTTTGATATACATGTATATATATATATGTTGTAAGAACGGCAATTTAAGTGATTTAAGATTTTAGGGTTAAGTTATAGTTCATATAAAATAAATTATACCCTAAACTTCTCACGACATATATAATAGATGTTCGATTAATATAATATCTAAAATTTTCTTTTATATGTCTTCAGACCACGCAAGTACCATCATTACCATTGGTCGAATAGCAATTGTTATTTTAGTAATTTTCTCCTATCCATTGCAATGCCATCCCGCTCGTGCTTGCTTAGAAAAAGCAATCTTTTCATTACAATCAATTTCTTCAAAATCCCCACATGTACATACATTTTCAGAAGTTAGATATATATTCTTGACTGTTGCACTCCTGATAAGTAGCTATACTATAGCTATACTAGTTTCAAAATTAGATTTGGTAAGCTTAATAAATTTTCTACTGCTTTTATTAGATCGTTTATAACTTATAGTTTCATTTATTTTATAACTGTTAGGTACTTGCTTTTGTCGGATCAACGGGTTCAACTGCCGTTTCGTTCATTCTTCCCGGCATCTTTTATTACAAATTTCATGAAGATACCTCATGGAACTACAGAAAAATACTTTCAGTGTTTCTAGTAGTCTACGGATGTTTAGTAATGGGCGTATGTTTGACAATGAATATACTACGTGTTATATACAGATATTAGACGTTATTGCATAATTTGCGAAATAGAAAAATCGATTAATCTATAGAGTTATAACTATTGCGGTAGACTGTATTCAAATAACCGCCTTTATAAGTAGTTATATTAAAGAATCATTTCCGCTTAATGTGAATGATTGTACTATTTTAGACGTTAGTTTTTTTGATTGATAATTTACAACTTGAATTTTTTATATTTTGAAATTTCAAATATCTTATATTTAAATAATTCAATAAAGTTATCTTTGAAATATTTTATTTATGATAGTTATCAGTAAAAGTATCCGCATTGTCACAAACTTTCTATAGTCACCTTGAGTCTTTTATTTAGCCATATATATACTATATATAAATTCTTTAGTCACAATCTCGCAATAGGTCCAATTTAACATGTGACTATGGGCCAAACCAATTTAATTCTTCGTTTAACATAATCCCTCCTTCCTTTATTTATCAAAATTTTATAAATAACATTAACCAATCAAATTTCAATATTAGCTTTTATGTATTTCGTATTTTTTACAGTCAACAGAATTGCTATATTTTTTTAATATGCATTTTTTATATCCTTTCTCACTCTTATAAACTATTTAATTCCAGTAACCTAATTGGTAAAACTTTTACCTAAGATTTTTGTTTATTCAGTTATTTTATATTAGTATTTGTTTTTTAAGTTTAGTTTTTATAATAATATTATTAAAATTTTGTACTATTTCTTTACTTATATTTTTTAAATAAGCTTCTTATTTTCTAATTTTTACAAATTTATACAATTATAAAAATTTATCTTGAGTTTGTATTGCCTTTTTATTAAATACACATTATATCCTAACTTAATGACTAAATTTAAAAAAAATTATTATATTATTTAAAATAATATAATTAACTTTTTATAAATATATATACTATGTATTCTCTCTTTAAATATATATTAAGTTTCAATTCTAAGCATATAAAATACTTAAAAAAATGTTTTTTATAAATGTGTATCTTTTTTAAATATATATGTTTAAAATTTTTATTAATAATTTTAAGAAATACATTTATAAAAGATAGATTGTATTTATTTTAAAAAAATTAGATTAATATTAAAAAACATAAAAATAAATATTTTATATTTATTTTAAAAATCTATAATCTATAATTTGAAATTAAAAAAATATTTATTTAAAAATAACATTTAACAAAATCTTTAAGAGATGTAATAATTTAGTAAAGTAGATAAGTTGTTAACCTTTCAAATAGTAAGTTGCAAGTTCAAAATTCATTAACAGTAAAAATTTGAATTTTCATTTGTATTATAACAATTGTTTTCAATAATTGTATTAAGATACCTATAATTATAATTATATTAGCATAACTAGTAAGTTATAAGATATTTATATAACAAATTATACAGAGAAATACAAACCAGACTAAACAAGTATAAGTTTAGTTAAAAAAATAATGTTCTTATAAAAAAAAAATTCTAAATAAAAAAGAAATCAAAAAACATTAAAATATAAAAATATAAGGATTGTAAATGAAAAAAAGGTTAGCATACCATTAAATAGTTTATAAGAGTGAGAAAGGATATAAAAAATGCATATTAAAAAACTGAAAAGACAAAAACCTACTTGAAAATTTTGAATAAAGAGATAGTACAAACTTTCAATAATGTTGTTAGACTAATAGAAACTTATGAAACACTTTCAAAGAAATTATTAAATAAATCAAATGATAGGTATGTGAAAGAAGCACATGTACTAACTAAGTTATTAGAATTATTAAAAGAAAAAAATACATAAGTATATCATACTAGGCCATCTGAATTGATAGTTTAAAAAGTTTTATTAATTCTAAATAACAGGTAGTAAAAAATAATAAAGAAAATATCAAAAAAAATAAGTAGAATTTGGATGAATTTTATAAGAATAATAACAATTTAATAGATAACTCTAATCACAAGTGTTGGTTTTAATCATAGCATCAAACTAGATTAATGATAAAAAGAGAATATAACTCACTCTAATAGGTTTATTTTAAAGATAAAAATAGTTTAGAAATTATTATCTTTTAGTTGAAAGTAAAAAGATTTGGATTTATGATTTGGTAAAGTTAATATTAGAGTTAGATCAGAAGGTTTAAATGGAACATCTAAGCAGAGGTGTTAGGTATAACAACTGGTAAGGAATTTTCAAACAAACTTTTTAAATAAATAATATAGAAAACTTATATATATAACCAGTTGTATACTCATCTAATAGTTTAATATAAATATGTCTATATGAATATGTACTAACATAAGTATTAATAAAAAATCAGAACCAAAAAAGTTACATTAATACTAAAAAAAAAATTTTTATAAGCAAAATATATCCTATATTATTAATAAAATATTATTTTATTTAAAAAATACTAAAAACATTTAATTTTCTAATTAAATTTATTTAAAATAAAGTTTAAAAAATAAAATAATATTAGAATTTAAATAAATTTAGTAATGATATAACAGTTTAATGACTAACTTTGACTACAAATATTGATTCAGCTATAATAATACTAGATTAACTAAAAAATAAATATACAAAAAACTTCGAAAGGTTTATTTTAACAATAAAATAATTTTAAAATTAAGATGAAAATCTGAACACAATTTAATAAAGTTAATACAAGTTGCAGATTTAAAAAATTCAAAATAAAACATCTAAACAGAAGTATTAAGTATAACAATTTATAAAAAACCTTCAGATGAACTTCTTAAATAAGTAATATAAAAAAACTATATATATAACTAATTGTACATTTTTGCTATAATAGTTTCATACAAACACATTACTAAAAATATTAATAAAAGTCAAAAAACCCAAAAAGTCATCTTAAAAAAAAAAAATCTTATTCAAATAAATTCAACAATATACTTCAAAAAATTATTTTTAAAAAATAAAAGAAAAATTTGATTGAACTGAAACCGATCTCGAACCGGTCCTTTAATTGGTTCTACGGTCCCATTGGTTCCGAACCATGGACCGGACCATACTGGACCCTTCGGTCCTGGGTTCGAGACCAGTCCTTCGGATCGATGCATCTCTAAGACCAAGGCAAAAGATGATTTTCCGAAAGTAAGTTGGTCCAACTGTGTCCGAATTATCCCGATCAGAAAGGGTGATTTTCATAGCAAAGATCCCAAGTGCATTTTAATTTATTACATGTATGCACGTAGACTTTTAATTAATTTTATGCTATCTACGATTATGCAATCACATAACCGAACCCCAGCGTTACGAATTACCGGGGTACTATCGAACGTGTCAAACACAGTGTATTACAATGAAGGCTTATACAAAGGAAAACTTTTAGCAAAATTTTCGTAATAGTCGTATGCAAGGCTCGAAAATTTGTAACTTTTTTTAAATCAAGATTAGCGGGATTGAATATTTAGATAAATTAGAAAAACAAAGGGTGTTTATTTTCACAATACAATAATAATGTTAAATTTTATGTTTTCTGTGTAATAGTGACAGATTTTTAGAGGTTACATATTCAACCGTTTTGACACGGGTAACCCTGTTTACTATAACCCGGTTCTAAACTCTATAACTCACCACCAACAATCGGAATTTATTTAAACAGCAGAGACAATCTAGAAATTGTATTGATGTTAATTAATAATTATTACATAAGAAGCAATATCAAGACATAAAAATAATAACTTACCTCATCGGCCTTTTGCAAGGCTTCAATCATCTTCTTACATTCTTTTCGCCTTTGTTGGGTGTATTCACTTTCTTTAAGTAATTCATCAAGAACCTCTGCTTTATATAGTTCTTGCAATAGTTCCCGTTGGAGTTCTTCTTTGGTATGTGAGACAAGATTAAGCATAACAGCCTTTGGGACCATGTCGACAATAGTTCTTTTTACAATGTTGAAATATGATTGGATAAGCGTCTCTGTATTAAAATAGATTAGATGGTCAGATGGTCAAGATAAGTTCAATGAGTTGCAATATACATAATAACTATGTTGTTATAATTTACTTATAATTTCGGTCTCCATGGATTCTCGTTCCGAGAGATTTCCTGACGCTTTCAAAACTGGCGGCGGCTGATTAAAATAAGATTCAATTATTATCTGACGTTGAGATATAGACTTATTAACTATAGTTTATTGATCCATACAGCCTCCATGACGCCAGCTTTCTTCTTTTTATTTCCTGTAAAGAAACTTCCGAAAAATCCAGTGTTCATTGATTCGGAATCTGACAGCGGATTCGGATTGGTAAGATTGTTAATACTTCCACGGCCTGTTTTTGGATCTGCAGGGTTTACAGGCTTTGGGTTATATTTGTCATTAATAGATGCAATGACTTTGTGGCCATTTAAGAAATCAGGATGGCCAGTGTTAATATAACTTGCTTCCATGCTGTTAAATAAAGGAAATAGTAAAACATATCAGTGGAAAGCAACATTGAAACTTTACAATTCGTATCGCTTTCTTTACTGACTTAACAAGATCTTGCACAAGTTTGTTTGTAGGTGCCAGAGATTTCTTGTAAAAGTTAATGACAACAGAGTAAAACTTGTCTTTTAGTCCAGGAAAACGTTTGAATAACTAAGAAATAAAAAATATTTTAATATGATCTAATTAAAACATAGGAAACAATTTCAGATTATTTTTCAGTTTATATACCTGTTTTTGCAACAATTGAGATAAAATTCGAACCAATTCTTCGTATACTAACGTCACACATTTTAAGCTAGGTTCTTCTAAGCGCTTAATTTGTTGCTTTATGATCACTTCAAATGCAGTTGAGGCGATAAAAAGAGATGGTGCTGATCCCTGAAAAAAATTGTTTAAATATTTTAAAATAAATTATACTTAAAGCTTTGAAGTTAATTAAAAAAAAATACCGAAGAATTGTAAAGTATCGTTCTAATGTCTACGTCTTTTATTTGATCAAAAGGATCTATTGACTTTATACCATTGGCAAACACCTCATGAAAAACAAAACTAATACGTGCACCGCCAGCTAACTCGAAAGAAGAAAGTTCATTGGAATTTCCGTCAATGATCGTGCGAAATTCTGTACAAAATTCTGTAATAATATTTAGGACAATATTGGCATTATTATTAAGGCCATCATCTAAAGGATCCCCAATTGATTGTAATTCGAGAAGATATTTTGCTAGCACTGCTTGAATTTTAGCTTTTATTTCGGGTAGCGTGTTTCGAATATGATGCATAAGTATCTAATTTAATTGAATAAAAAACGTTAATTTTGATCGGGAAAATACGTAATATATCACCTCCTGCTATAATTACATGGTATTGTGCATTTTGTGTTTATTACGGATTTAATAAGGATTGTGATTAATGATAGTGAAACTTATATATATAATATAATAAAGCAGAAAATTAACATGGCTATAGACAATTGCATTGTGATTAGAGCGGAAGGCGATTGTAATAGGCAATTCGAATTAGTAATCAGAAACTACCATGTTCAATTTCCTGGCAAGAAAAGGTGTCCCACAGTATTGTGCTTTGCTTTTGTAAGAAGGATGGTTCTCAAAGAAATTTTTTTCAGCTTCAAGCGCAGCAGTAATAGCCTTTCTACTATCAATATCCTTTTGACCACGATTCACGACAGGTACATAACCTAGTACAAGAAATATTAAGTACCTGGTATTATCAGGATATTATCTAATAAATATACTTACCGAGACGCAGGGGAATAATACGACCCGCTAAAATGTCAACGACATCTGTTCCTTGGTCCCTATTTAATTATATAGTGGTCAAGTTTGATTTTCTGCACTAAATTAGTACAAATTTTACAATAACCTACATTAGATCAATTTTTGTAAGAACTCCGATAGTACGTGATCCTAATAGAAGACACAAATATTTTTTTAATAAAGTAATCGTATAACTGGAATTAAATTTTGGATAAAATAGAATAAGCACTGATACGAACCTTCTGGATCTACTTCACGGGCCAGTTTCAGCCCATCCGAATTAGCTAAGTCGGTATTAGCAGCAGTAACTGCAAGAATAATAGCATTAGGTTTGGTGATATATTTCAAAATCATCTCTCGGATTTGTTTTTCAATGTCCTTTGGTTGATCTCCAACGGGCACCTGATAACGAAATGGGAATAATTTATGGTAAGAAATTTAGATGATCGACTTCAAGCACACAAACATACCTTTGTAAGTCCAGGCAAATCAACAAGCGTTAATGTAAGTACATTAGGTGAATATATTCTTAGGTTTATTGGTGCTGGAGAGATACCTATTAATTCATGATATAAACAGAATCGTGGTTAATTAAGCAAAGATTTTTAAGAGCAATACAGTATACGGGCAAATACTAAATACTGACCAGCATTTTTTCCCGTTTTCGCTTCAGTATCCTTGATAATCTCTTCACGAATCTTGTTGAAATCATTGAATTTCACTCCAGGAATGTGTAAAAACTCTCCCCATTCTTCTTCATTATTTGATGTTTCTTCTTTACCATTCGCAGCTTTCGCAGCTTTCTCAGGTGCGTCCTTTACACCCTCTTTGCTTGAATTATCTTCGGTTTTCGGTCGATTTATAAGTTGTAAGACCTAAAAGACAAACGAATATTATTAATCATTGTATTTATGGTGTACATTGAAAAAAAGACATCTTATGTCAAATAAATTGTTTATAAATTAAAAATATTAATAAATTTATTATGCTTATAAGCATAATCTAACGCGTTTTACAGAGACTATTTATCTTTTTCATATATTGACAACGAAACTTGCAAATAACAGCTTTGGAGAAATATGGCAAATTTCAGAATAACTTCACGTAAAAAAAAATTCAACACTAACCAAAGGCCTTCGGGTCACAATGCCAGTGCCTCTAGGTAAGAAGTCACGTCCTACAATATTCTCTAATACTGAACTTTTACCACTTGATTGAGAACCAATAACTACAATCTGCGGTAAATCAACGGGATTTTGAACTCCGACAGTTGCAAAGGCATCCTGAAGTTTATTAACTACACATTGAATTAGTAAGAAAGCTTTTATAACTTAAATGTTTAAGTTTCAAAAAAAATTACCGGTTTTAATTAACGTAACATCCATTTGCAACGACGGGAACAAGGGTATAATGTGCGGTTACTTAGCAAACTATCAGATCGAGAATAACAATTCCGTTGGGCGTATCGAGCTAACGAACGAGCAAGTCGTACAAAAGCTTTTTTTTTTATCTATACCGCCAATCAGTCTTATAATCACGTGAATATATTTCCCGTGTTACATACAACTCTTTCTTAATGTTTCTTTCACGTTTACGCAATCCGGCGAGTAAAACATCTAACCTTAAAATCTTTTGCGTAACTAGACTGATCGATAGGAAAATTTTTTGTTCAACGTGTTCACATTCATTCATTTATACGCGAAGACTGAGGAATTTGTCCAGTTCAAGTTTGTACAGCCGTTTGTCTCACCTAATTCGTGCCCAAAGAATTTCACATTGGCAAACGGCAACTTATAGTAGCGTTAAGCCTTCCGCTATCGAAGAAAATTCCGAAAAAGTTGTACCAGGGAATTCTTCATGGATTTATACTTATTTTCCGCCAAAACTTGTGCCTTATGCTCTTCTTGCACGTTTAGATAAATCTATAGGAACTTGGCTCTTATATTTACCCTGCAGTAAGTCAAGGGGCTGATATTTCCACGCCCATGTAAATCATTTATTTAAACCTTTGATTAAAGATATCTCGACAACCACCCAATGAAATTGTCCATTTTTTTCTTTTGTTGAATTCTATGGATTCATAGAATTCAAATAAAAGAGTTCAAATTTCATTAGCATGGTTGTCGAGATATTTTCGATCAAAGTCGGGAATTTTGCCGCAGCTTATATTTCGAGACATTTAAAATTTAAAACTTTAATCAAGGATGTGAATAGACATAGTCTAATCTAATCATCTATTATGTCTAATGACTGTCTAATAGTCTATTTAGTACTTATATTAGCTAGATTATGATATCTAAAATTAACCAATCAGATTACTTTAAACTATATATTACATTTGTTTATTGTCTAATAGATCATTAGACTGTCTATGGCAACCCTGCTTTAATCGAAGATATCTCAGCGGCCCAATGAAATTTAATGATCCTTTCTTTCCTTTCTTTTATTTGAGTTCTATGAATTCATAGAATTCAAATAAAAAAAATATCTTCGATTAAAGTTTCAAACAAGAGTGACCTACGTGGGTATGGAACATCAGTTCCTTAAGTCAATAAGCGAACTTATTTATCGTGCTAACAAGAAAAATGACGTTTTTTGACGAGACTACTTATTTATAGCATGGAGTATTACAATGGCGACATATCACGCACAATTACCAGCCTCTCAGACTATCTATATGCTGACTCTTTTTGGTGTTGGAGCATTCATAATGAGAGGCGCTGGATGTACGATCAATGATTTATGGGATAGGAGAATAGATAAACAGGTAGAACGGACACAAAACCGACCACTTGCATCAGGGACGGTGACTCCTTTTCAGGCCCTTGTTTTTCTAGGATTACAATTATCAGCAGGGTTAACAGTCTTGACCCAATTAAATTATTATAGGTATGCCAAAATATAATATATAAATGTTGTGAATGGGAACAGAATTGATTGTTTTGGAACGTCTTATTAAGATTAGAATTTTTAGGTCAGAATTAATTTCATATTAATTTACATCTTAACCCTGAAAATTTAAGAATTCCAATTCCACTTAAATTCCGTTCCCATAACATACACATATTCAATATAAAGAGAGACCCCTCCAAATGCGTCATAGTAAAAAATTCAAAAATATGCACTTAGTGAGAGCGTGCATTTACAGGGACAAAAGATATAGTGCTATTAATAAGTGGGACCAGATTATACTATGCACTTAAAGGTATTTGACGTATAGAATGCATCTATGGAAGATGCATTTAGGAAGGTCTCTGTATATTGTTTCGTTAGATTAATGCAAATTGACTAAAAAAAACTACTATAGTATTATTCTTGGTGCGACATCTTTAAGTATTGTTTCTATATATCCGTTAATGAAACGCGTAACATTTTGGCCGCAAATCTACCTTGGTACGTGATTATTTAATGAATACATAAAAAATCATATTCGACATTGGGATTGAATTAATTTACGATAATAGGATTAGCTTTTAATTGGGGTGCATTATTGGGTTGGCCAGCGATGATTGGCAGTAACGAATGGTCAGTTACTCTCCCATTATATTTTGCCGGTGTGTGTTGGACGTTGGTGTACGACACGATTTATGCACATCAGGTGAATAAGTTCACAGGAAATTGCAACCATTTTTAGAACTCTAATTCTTTTAATTAGACATTTACCTACACAATTTGTCACTTTTTTTATTATGCTTAGGACAAGAGCTTTGATAGCGTTATTGGAGTAAAGTCAACTGCTCTCTTGTTCGGAGACAGGACTCGACAATGGTTAAGTTTTTTCTCAGGATCAATGGTAGCGTTTCTCATTCTAGCAGGACAGATGAACGGCCATGATTGGCCTTTCTATTCAATCTCTGTTCTAGGTACAGGAACTCACCTTGCATGGCAGCTTCGTACGGTAAATTTTGATGACGTGGCTGATTGTGATAGAAAGTTCCGTAATAATAGATGGATTGGCATCTTAGTGTTGAGTGGTATTTTGGGTGATATCGCTTGGAAAACTTTAGATATTGGCCAATCGAAAAGCATTTCGGAAATAGATTAATAGTATGTTTAAATACAATAATAACATTGTCCAATCTATTTCTATTAGTTTATTCGGTTCTATAGTAATTGTTTGCGAAATTATGTTTAAACGCATTTACAAAAGAAAGAAATTGGTAATAATGAACTGGTGAACTTTTAAAATTAAAAATTCAGGATTGATACTTTGAAGTCTTACTAAAGTCCTACAACGCGTAAAATTCACGATTCTTAAATTTCCATCTCTACCTCGTTCCTTTATCCTTCTGATCGATATCGGGATCAATTATATGCCCCAGCAAAATTTGCAACCTTTCTAATGCCACATTTTGTAGGTAATTACCATCCAACGTTTTAGTATCGTTGTCCTTATTATTACTACACCATCGCGAGGGTGAAAATAATCTAGCCCAATTCCATTCCGCCTCTGGTGAGGGTCTACAAGTTATTGTCATTGGGTATTCTAAGATAGTGAACAGAAGGTGATCAAGGAGATAAATTTGAGCTTGGAGTAAGTCGTTATGTAGAGTATTGTATGCGATAGCATGATCATTAGCCATAAACGAGGAATACTCTTCAGGTGAAAAACGGAGAAAGGATGAATCTTGACACGCCGTAATACTTATAAATTCTTTAACGAATGGATGCTCACAAGAATGTATCGGTATGTTTTGTAAAGAAGTTTTGTCCTTATGAGGTTGGTTCAGCCCGCGTTGTTTGATATAAACCTCAGTGAACTTCTCATCACTCCATTCTTGCCGAAACTCTTCTTCCTCTATCCCTTGTTCTGAAATCATGAATTCAGTCGTAAGCCAATTTCCATTATCTTCACTCAGTTGAATAAAATGATTCCAGCTATTCAACTCTTCGTTATCATTATTTCTTCCAGTTTCTTGCCTCTTTCTTTCAAGATTTGAAAAACGAAAGGAATCTGCCGTATTTCTTCCTTGTTCAATTAATTTCCTTGTCGAGGAAGCAATGCCATAATCTTGAAAATACTTGTTTGCAAAAAGCGAGAGCGGGCTGTTGGATAACCCATTACCAGCGCAGGATGATGTTACTATTGTAGACATCTTAGTTTGTAAAGGAAAAAAAACTTGTCAATTTTAAATTTAAAGTTTATAATAACACGTGATAAGTGACCGATCGTTCCCAGATTATCATAGATTTTTGATGCCAAAATCAAATCGTGAACACGGATCAGCCCGCGATAGTAGATGAAATATAATGATCTTTTTTCTATAATACGTAATATTTAATTGGTCCCAAGTCTAAAATACCATATATTTTTTGAACTCACGTCTAAAGCAGTATCGTAGCAATATAAGGACGATACGTATATCGAACTTATTGCAGTATGCGATACAGTTATACTGTACGTACGTAGCTATGTTGTAAACAAATATTTATAAGTACTTCCTTACCAAAAATTTTCAATAAGGTTATGATTATCATTTTTTTATAGTTATTTTTTATTGGCAACTTCTCAATATTTACATATTAATTTTTATTTATATAATGACAGAGTAGAAATTTTTTTTTATAGTTAAAGTCCCTATCTTGGGGATGCAACGTTTTTATTCAAGTATATTAGAACACGGCATGCCATCAGGGGCTCACCTTACATTGGAGATTACAACTAGTCACATGTGCATTTTTGGTGCCTAATTTAAGTAGTCTGTTTACACATTGTTATATAAGTTTTACATTAGTTGTCATACTTGCAAGCTGATTAGAGGTCTTGCCTACAGTGGCCTACCATATAAGTGTGGATATTTTTTAAAAAATTATAACAAGCTGATTAAAAAAGATATTAAACTAAAAATAGTATCATAAATTCATTAAATCCAAAA